TCTCATTCTAGTGCAGCAGGTTGGGATTTCACAAGGGCAAATGGCTGCAGCTGGGAGAGGGGGATGCAGGGCTGTTGCTTGAGGATCTAACTTTACACTGCAAGTCCTAACACATAAAAGAAAAACAAAACAAATCTTGGAAGAAAGGCCTTACAAAGTGGCTGTGGATGGCCCAGTGCCCTGGGGCCAGGTTGATGCCTCCAGCTGATCTGGGCTCCCCGTCCTGCAGGTGAGACGCCAGGCTGTGGCTCAGCCTGTGGATCCCGCTCCTGCCCCGAGGGCTACTGCAGCAACGGGGGACGCTGCCACCTGCACCCCATTACCTGCACCCCCACCTGTGCCTGCCCCTCCGCTTTCACCGACCAGCGCTGCCTGGTGGCGGGGGGGGATTTTCGGCCACTGCCCAGTGCAGGTGGGTGCCTGTGCCTGGTGTGGGGTGAACCTCAATCCCACTCACCCCTGTCCTAGGATTCCAGAGCCACCACTGTCTTTCCCCCAGCAGATCTGCCCCGGCGAAGCATCCGGCTGCGGGTCAGGACACTGCTAAACACCACTGCTGAGGAAGTCAACAGCACTGTATGTCACTGGAGGGAATGGGCTGAGGGAGGGGGACACACCAGCACACTGGGAAGCATGGCAGCTTGGGGTGCCCATGCCTCCATATGCCTCCCTCCCATGGGATCTCTGGGGATCCAGCAGATCCACAAGCCCACAGGGAGGAAATACCACCTGCGTGATGCCAGCTGTGACTGTAGCCATGTGCCAGGTTCCCAGCACATGAACCAAGGGCTAGGGCAACCCGTGGGGCTCAGCCAATGTGCCTGCATCACCCTTCAGCCTCTCCCCATGCTGGCGCCATTCTGCCCTCCCCTAATGCCTTCCCATTCCCCTTGCTGCAGGTGTCAGCCATCCTGGGCTCCCTGGAGGTAAAGACTTTCCAAAGCAACACCAACGTCACCCAGATGTGAGTCAACAGTGAAGCAGACCCGTGCCCACCCCAGTGATCTGTCAGGGCAGGGCTGGGCACAGGGTCATAGGGTTTGGTGCACAAAGAGCGTTTTCCCCTACCCCAGAGTCTGTTTTTCCAGCTTTGATGCTGGTAAACCCCTAGAGACACAAGCCATTTGGCATCCTCTGCCTCCTGCCTCATCCCTTCTTTACACCACCCAAATGGGAATACTGAGGCACAGTGAGGCTCAGTCACTCTGTGGTGCGGCAGTGGCTCTGCCAGCAGCCCCGTCTTTTCCCTGCAGGACAGACAGTGATGGCTTCACCTTCGTGGTGGTGTCTGAGTTTGCCTATGACAGCCACAGCACCGTCATCCGATTCCTGAACGAGGAGCTGCCGGTGGCCATCACCAGAGCCTTCAATGGGCGGCGAGGGCGACAGGAGGCAGGCACAGGGCTCCTCTTCCAGCACCTGCACCAGGACAACATCACTGACCTGGTGAAGCGTGAGTTGCTCCCAGCACTGAGCTATGGAGTGTGGGAGGAGCACCCCGCTGTCCCCATTGCCCTCTCTGTGTCCCAGTGTTCGGTTAATGCCTGTGAGGGAGGAGGGTGAGCAGCCTCCTCCACTCCAGGGGGGGAGGGTCCAGCCCAGTGAGATCTAATGTAGCATCAAGGGTGATGCTGTGTGGCCTAACCCATGTGCCCTCCCTCCCCAGTGACAGTGGCTGAGCTGAGGGACTATTTCCCCTGTGCTCTGTATGGCTACAAGGGCTACCGCCTCCACTATGTGGGGACCATCGGCTTCATCTGCATCTCCCCTTGCAAGATGGGCTACTGCCAGCACGGCAGCCAGTGCCAGCACCTGCCTGAGGGGCCCACGTGCAGGTAGCAGTACCACTGGGGTGGACAAGGCCACCCAGCACAGCCACTTCTCCCCATGGCATCAATGCTCCTCCCTCCCCATCCACAGCTGCCTGCCTTTCTCCATCTTCTCCCCGGCTGGCGCCCGGTGCGAGTGGCTGGCCATCAGCCTTGTCGCCTTCCTTGGAATCTTGCTGGGAGCCCTGGCTCTGCTCTGCCTCCTGTTTGCCATCGTCTGCCTGACCCTGCACCTCTGCCGCCGGTACCGCCGCCAGCACCAGGGGTGAGCCATGGGCTGGACCCACACTGGGGTGGGTGCTGGGGGTACAGCAGGGGAGGAGGTTGGGTGTCAGAAAGAAAATCTGATGGAAAATCCACTTTTGGAAGATCCACAGGTGGTGGGACTCATCTGGTCTAGGGAAGGGGCTGGGTGACCTTTTAGCATTTTCCAGCTCATTTCCCAGTCATCTGCTGCTCGGAGGTGCGATAGCATCTGTGGGTTGAACATTAGCTTCCCTTTCTCACCATGTCAGGGAAAGTTTGCATTTCTTCCTCATCCCACCCAGTGCTTGGTAAGAGACGGGCTTTCTGTTTAACTCTAATTTGAATACAACCCAAATGATTTCCACTGCAATTCACACATGTCTGGAAAGAGTTGGCCTGGAGTAAGTGCTTTCAGGACTGGACCTTCCTCTCCTGCAGAGCAGGGAGTTAACAGAAGAATGGCAAGGTGCAAGGCTGGGGTGCAAGCACTATCATCTCCTTCCTTCTCCCTAGCCCTTGGTCCTGGGGTGGCATCCTCACCCAGGGGAAGCTTAGAGCCCCAAGCCACCTGCTTTGGTTGGAGGTGTGTCTTGCCCATGTTCCCAGCTCCCTGCTGGCCCTGGAACCAGGGATCTCTGGGAAGCAACTTTGTTAGTTTGCACCTGTGGCAAGGCAAGAAATTGTGTGCAAAACAACTGGGGCTTCTCCTCTTCTCATAGCCTCATCTCACCCCCACAGTCAGTCACTGGTCCCTTTACCATCTGATTCAGACAGCAGGAGCAGGTAGGGGCTCTCCCAGCATCCCCACACATGTTGTCCCCTTTCTGTTCCACCCTCTCAGGGCCAAGGAGACCTTCTGGAGGACACGGCCCTTCTCCTGTGAGTACATCCCTGCAAACTGCCCCCACCATGGCTCTGCTTCACCCCAGTCTTCAAGCTCTGCTCATCTTCCCTGCTCCAGCTTTGACAATGGCAGAAGAGCAAGCAGAGCCCATCCGCTCCCACTCCCTTGAAAGGCCCTGGAAACCACAGCTCCAGGCTATTGACCCCTCAGTCCAGGTCTGCCCGGGGGTTGTTGTCCCTGTGGGGCATTGGGGTGGGAAGCTTTGGACTGGGAACTGAATCCTGGCCCCCTGCCTTGATGCTTGGGAGTTGTGCCTTGTCCTGGAGCATCGTGGATGCTTTGGCTGGTGTTGGGATGCACACCACTGTCTGAGCTCGTTGTGAAGAGCAGAGCCCATGCAATATTGACAGCATGGTGAGGCCTGTCCTTATTTACAGATAAAGATCCAGAGACCCCACATCAGGCCCCCACACCAGCCCCCGCAACAACCCTAGCCTGCCACTGGTCCTGCTCCGGCTCCTCCAGGCTCACCAAGGAATCAGACGCTGCCTCCCGCTCTGCTCTCGCTCTCAAGGTCTCCAGCAACACCAACACATGGAAGCAGAGGACAGGCTTTTGGATTCTGAGGGAGGATCCACTCTGGAGGAGGAGCTTTTTTGAATGAAAAATGTGGGTTTATGTTGGGTGACCAAAGCAAGAGGATTTCACCTTCCCATCTGCAGAGACAACCAGGATTGACCTTGAATGTGTCTGCACTGGGATATTCACTAGTGCAATGTAACCAGACCCTGTAGAGTCCCTGATAGCAGGGTCAGGTGGGGCAAAACAGTGAGTATAATCTGATAGGAACAAAATAGAATAAACAAAAAATTATGGCATGCTGCTAAATTGTCTGTACCCTGGGGGTCCATTCACCAGCCCTTCTTCCCTCCTGCTGAGCTCTCAAGTACCTGCTTTTTTTTGGTGCCATTCACAGAACCAAAGTGATGGATTTTTTTGGTTGCTCCATCCTCTCATTCGCCCTGTAAAGCTGCAAGTCTCCTCTCACTGTTTTCATGGACACTGCTTACAGTGGCTCAGATCACACAGGTCAGGCTGTGGTCCCCACAATCCCCCTACAGCCCTTCAACCCTGGTGATGGGAAATGCTGATACACTCCAAGGAGAGTGTATCAGACCCCGTCAGATCCCAACTCTAACCCCACCAAATGCCCTAGACCCTGGCTTAGCTGCAGCCCAGACACCCACATCCCCAGCTTTCAATCCATGGACAGAAGCATCCTGCAATCCTGCTGCTCCAAGCCTGCCCCACCACTGCCTCCCACCCCAAATCGGTAGAGGACAGGGCTGCTGCAGGATCAGTGATGCTCAGAACCTTCAGAGGTTTTATTGAACAAACAAGATTTGACAATGATTTATTTTTTGTAAGAAAGGAAGGTGCTCACTTACACACAAATATTATTTTTCTCCCAACATTTTTGATCATGGGGTTGCATTTTGCCCTCACACACCCAGCAGATTTGTCGAGCTGATTCTGGCTTGATCCGGAGAATCGGTCCCTTCTCCTGGGCACAGGGCCCAGGGACCACTCAGTGAGGGATGGATGGGGGACAAGACAGGACTGGCTCCTGGGACCAGCCTGGTGTGCCCTGGCACTCAAGGGATTGGCCACAGTCAACCCGTGCGAGGTGTAGAAACCCTTTCCCTGGGTGCCAGGGGTCCAGGCTCACCCCGTAGCGTGGGAGCACAGGTGGGATGCAGGAAGGACAAGGGTGTGTGTGTGGTGGGGGGTACCTGTCACCTCCCTGCCAGCAAGGAGGTGCCCACGGGCACCCACTCAGCTGCAGCTGGGAAAGGACAACTGAAGGAACTGACTCCTTGGGACAAGTCTGGGTTGGAAACGTAGTTCATGTAGAAATATGAAGTTGCCAGTGCAGGCAACCACAGGCACTGAACAAGTGAGATGCCCTGTGTGGTGGGCAGGGGTGATGGGTTCAAGGGGTGACACAGGGGATGAGCAGAGCAAAGGACTCGAAGGATCAGCCTTGGCCCAGACCATGCTGTGGGTGTGCAACCCCCCAGTTACTTGTCATCTTCATCTGCAAAGAAGAAATGAGACTTGCTCAGTCATCTATCCTCAGGTGGGCCTGCAGCAAACTGGTAGCCCCAGAATACTTTTTTGCAGGGGGACATGGACAGAAGGAAAGGAGATCTGCAATCCTACTCACCTATTTCCTCATCCGAGTCTCTCTCTACCTCCTCCGAGGAATCTGTTCAGGGTTGCAAGAAAGCCTTGCATCAGCTTACACCACAACCACGTCAGCTGTGGTCCTCCTCCCCTCCCAGTGCCATCACCCTCAGACAACGCTGTTGGTTATGTGCTGAGGGAGATGCCCCCCACAGCCCTGCACAGCTCAGGGCATGGCACAACTGCATGTGGGTACCCTTTCCCTCATCTGCCCAGGGCTCTTCCTACCTTCACCACAGGGAGGCTGGGACATTCCTGCTTCCCTCCCCAGCCCTGGGCACCAAGACAGCATCACCCCAGCCCACACAGGCTGGAAACCCACCCATGCCAGGTGACTGGTATCCATCACAGCCAATCTTTGGCCTCTTCTCACTGTAGCGGGCGCAGAGGTGGGCACTGCTCGCCCGGTTGCAGCACCAGTCATACAGCTTCAGCTCCTGGTCTGGAGGCAAAAAGGAGAGTAAGGGGCTGAAGGAGAATGGAGAGGAGACAGGCTGGCTCCAGGGCAAGGCTTGCCTCAGTTTTTAGCTGGTCCAGGCTCCCTCCAAGGGAAACAGCATGTCAGGAAACAGATTGGCACGGAGATTAAAATTGTTTACAAGCTACAACAATGCCAGCTCCAGCCAGGGGATGCCAAGGCTGGCTGTGCTTACCACGGTAGGGTGACGCCTGCCTGGAGGACCTCCAGTACCTCTCCTGCCGCCCTTCGATGAGCTGGTTCTGGCTGTCGTACAGGCAGCGGACACCGGCGCCGTGCTGGTTGGGGGAGGCCGAGTGCAGCATGGAAACACGGGCAGCCCACCGACCTGAAACAGGACTGCAGTGAGCATTGGGCAGCTCTGCCTGGCCACTACCTCTGCCTCGGGGCAAGGAGCGGGGCCGGGGATGCCTCCCACATGACCCACGGTGCTATAGGGTGGTTTGGAGGGACTGATGGAGACCATCCAAGTGGTCCCCAAGGGTGAGATCCTGGTCCCCAGCATCCCTATTCGTGTTAGATCAGCTCTGGCCAGTCTAACATGACAGGGACAGGTCAGCCCTCACTCCTCCTCACTTTCCCTGTCTCTACAGGGAAGGGCAGCCCCACGCCCCCATTTTCCTTAGGGTCGCCTGCCCACCCTGCCAGGAGGGACCCCAGCCACCCTGCAGGGAAGATGGGGAGGGACAGCTCAGGGATGAGGAGGGTGAGGAAGCAGCATGTCCACTTGCCTCCACGGCTGCTCTTGAAGCGTGGATCCTGCTGCCCTTGCTGCAGGGAGCAGGGGCAGGTGGGCAGGCCCTGGCTCCATGTCCGCGGCTCCTGCTGCTGCCCCGTCCATGCCAGGCACTTCAGCCGGTAGTTGATGCCCACACGGCTCTCCAGCTTGTAAATCCACAGCCCACGGAGGTCTGAGCAGGGAGAGAAACCATGAGCTGTCACCTCCAGCCAAGGGGCCCACAGGGGATGTTTCACCTCGAGGTCATAGCTGTGTGATGCTGATGCTGGAAGCCAAGCCCACATCGACCCCCAGCCATGGGACCCCATGCTCAACAGCCACCCAACAGCAGGGAAATGGGGAGCGGCTTTTGCCAAATAAGAAAGCCTTGGGACACAGCCATTGGAACAAAAATAGTCCATGGCCACAGCAGGGATGTTTCAGCCTCAGGGCTTAGCTTGGTATTTTAGTAAGTTTTATGTGCTTGGGGGGAAAGCCTGGCCTTGGTGAACTCCTTGAGAGCCTTGCCACAGTGGTAGCATGGATTTCATTCCCCAGGAATATCCCCCTCCTTGTGATCCTTGTGAACCTGCCCTGGCTGTGTGGCATTACCTGTGTTGTAGCCCCTGAACTGGTCAGGGCGATATTTGGCAGCTGGAGGTCTCTTACTCAGGTCATCGTTGTGGTAAAAGCCATCCCCACTGTGTACAGAGGAAGGAGGAAAAATCAGGGGTTGCTTTTCCTGGGTGGGATTATCCCAGCTCCGTCCCCAGACTGCCCTTCAACCCTCCTGATACTGAGTAGGCAGGATCAGTAGGCAGCTCCAGGGACAGGAGGGCAAAGACACCATCTCCCCCAGCTTCCTCCTCTGTGCAGGGTGCAGTTAGTTTTGGGTGCTGCAAACTTCCCTACTGCAGCAGGTGTGGAACCCACAGACACCTAAAGACCCCCACAAGCAGCTCTCATGGTTTTCAGCATCTTGCTGGGTGAGATGGAGCAGAAACCCACAAGCAGTCACGCACAGGGAAGCACACACAGACACACACACAGACACACACACACCCCTGTGCCGCCCACGCTCCCAGTCCAGGCCACCTTTTCCTTACCCAGCTGCAACAAGCAGCTAATGAGGAAACCCTGGAGACGTTGTGTACAGGGCAAGATGTAATGTGAGGAGGCAGGAAGCGACTGCTCTGGCCAAGCACGGAAATCCCTTCCCTCAACTGGTGCAAAGTTCAGCAAACATCCCCTGTTTCCCACTCCTTCCACCCAAACTGCCAGGATGCTGGGGGCCCAGGACTCCAGAGGGATTTGTGGATCTTACAACAAGCATAGCCCAGCAAGACAGCATTCTGCAGCATAAGCCAGTCACTGATGAAGCAAATTTAGTTCTGAGACACCCATATGTTAGGCTATATGGGCATGCAGACCCCATCTGGGCTGTCCTCATCCTCATCCTTGTAGGGTATGTCCTGGCACACAGGGAAGGATTCAACAAGCTGGAGCCATGGGTGGGATGCATCTCATTGCTCAGAACTGGCAGGGATGGGGTGCTGAGCTGCTCTACCTGGTGTAGCCGATGAGCACATTGGTGGCAGTGAGCCTGGTGTAATCCCACTGCATCCCTCCGTCCTGGTACAGCATCAGGATGTAGGACCTGAAGCCATCAGTGGTCAGGACAGCCTGGTATGTGATGGTCTGGAGACAAGTGTTGTAGAGAGGTAAGAAAATGAGTAAAGATAGTGGGTTTAAAATTAGGGGTGTGGGTCAGTGCTTTCTGGGGAATGGCAGGACTGAGGTCTGGAGCTGCAAGGCAAACACAGCCTGAGCCGGTTCACACTTCACATGGAAAATGTGGTGGTTTTACTTTGAAGCTGTTCCATGACAAGCCTCAAATTGACACCATTTTGTGCCTCTGAAGAACAGTGTTTCTGGTGCTCAGCAAATTCCCACCACATTAAAGAGAAAGGTTTTACAGAGTATGGAGAGTTCAACTAAAGATGTCCCTTTAAAAAAACTGAAAACCACCAAAACACGGGCACAGCCCAGTTCTTTTTGGCAAAATTCTTCAAGACTGGCCTTTGTCACAAAACTGGTTTCTTATTTTCAGGCACAGAAAAAGTGATCACCTGTGGATCTTGGGTTGTTTTGTCAACTCAGCCAGCCTGTGTGATCCATCAGCCCCTTACCTTCCGGGTGTCAGTCCGTGATGAATAGACAGGTGCCTTCTCCCAGGTGATTTTCAGGGTCCAGGCTGCAGAGTAGGAGGACCTCATGTACCGCCGAACCTTCGCTTCCACGTCACGGACAAACGGAGGCTTGGCCGTGTTGAGGGTGGAGAACTCCTGCAGGTTGGATACACCCACATCTGCATTAGCTCCCAGCAGGGAAAAGACTGATCTAGACTGGGGTCATGCACAGACCCTTACAACTAAGGGTCTGGATAGAATTTGGATGGCTCAAGAGGTGACACAGGACCAACAGCTCATAGATTTGGCCCAGAAAAGGGAAAAACCCCTCATGGGTTCCATTAATTACACATCTCATGGGGCATCCATATAATAGGTGATGAGGTTATAATCAAAAGGTGTTTCATGCAACCCTGCACCCAGGGGGTTTCACTCACCTGGTAAAAGGTGGTGCCCACACCTCTGGAGAAGTCGGCGTTGTCCCAAAATACAGCGATCATGGGAACCTCCTCATGGCCATTGAAGCCGCCAGGAGGAGGGTTGGGATACGTGAAGATGCCTTTGTCTGAGGCTGGGAAAATTATTTGTCCATTGTCTGTAAACTGAGAAGAGGGAACCCTCCATCAGGTGAGGTCAGGACCAGTGGCACTCCCTGACACTGAGACAGCAGCCCTCCCATTTCCAAGTCCACGTGGACTTTCCAAGTCCATGCCCAAGGAAAGTCACCACCTGCTACTGCCAAAATGGCCACAAAGTCACGTCCTGCTGCAGACAGACCCCGGCAGCATCCCCATAGATTTGGCCCTGCCAGGGCCCCATTCCAGGCACCTGGTCCCTGGTGCCTTTCCCAGGTTTTTGGGTGATGGCTGCTTGCCCAAGCAAATCAAGCACAGGTAGACTCACGTAGAGAGAGTCACGCAGGGTTCTCCCGAATGGGAATCCAGTCTCGGGCTTGAAAAGTGGAGAATTAAAATCCACTCTCCTTTCCACATACTCCCGATCATTTTCCCTTGCTCCATACCCATAGAGGGGCACAGCTGGAACTGGAAAAGTAAACAACAAAAAAATAAACCCCAAGATGCACTTACAGCACAGCCTTTGGTCTGTGCCAAAAACTTTAAAGGGTTGAAATGATTTTGCTTTCAATGGGACACAGCCTGGGCAGAAGGAGGATGGAGGAACACTGCCAATAACCACCTGAAACACTCTTAATGTCACCTTCCCTTGCAGGAGCTTTCTCCCACCCCTTTCACTGCCTTACATGGACACAGCTGCCCTAAACATGCTGTGATGGCCTTTGTGGTTACTATCCCCTCCCTTATCCAGCCCTGTTGAGATACTGCTCTTAAGGACAGCTGTTAGGAGGGGAAAAACATTGTACAGGACTACATCAGGGGGACAGCAGGGAATTAAACACCCACAGCTCTTTCTAGAGATGTTTACAGCCTCCAGTTCCCTATTTATGTCTGTTAAATAAAACATTTGGAAGGGATGGGTTTTCCAGCTGATGGGACCGTACTGAAGGCAGGCTCAGCCTGCCAGCAGTGCACGCTCATGTGCAGGGAGCCTTCATGCTGCGTGTCCTCCATGGCCCTGGAGGGGCCCCTTGCTTTCTGGGCACTGAAAGTCCCCCAGGATGGTCCAGCAGGGAACTGGATGTGCTACTCCCACCTGGGCTGCCCTGCGAGCGTCACGTACCTGTGGGGCTGGGCAGCGGGGCTGGGGCAGCTGCTGGCCTTTCCGATGGAGCTGGAACCACGGGGGACGATGTGTGGGAGGTGACAGTGGCAGTTCCCAGCCTGGGAAGCACCTCCCTGCCCCTGAGGAGGGGGGCTCGTGGGGCTGGGTCAGCAGGGGCAGGGCTGCAGGATGTGCCAGGGCATGAAGTGGCTGGGGACCCTCCCTGGGATCCCCCCTGGCCTGGGAAGGCTCTGGGGAGGCTTGACCCAGAGGTGGCAGGAGCTCTATTTGCTGAGCTGGTGGCCAGCTCACTGTCCAGGATAGGCTGCAGGGCAGCGGATGGCGATCCACCAGTAGGACCTGCACCTGGGATTTTTGATCCAGTGCTACCAGCAGTGGTCCCAGTGGGAGGAAGGCCAGGGAGCCCTGGGCTCCCATGCAGTGGGGAGTGAGTGGGTGTTTCCGTATCTGCCCCAGATCCAGTCACACTGGGAAGGAGCTGGGCCATGTCCTCTTGCCCTGCCATCACTCCAGGGAGCACAGCACTTGCTTTCCCAGGCACAGGGTTGTCAGCATCCCTGGAGGGGGCTCCAGTGCTTCCTGGCTGGCAGGGAGGCAGGAGCAAGACAGGCCCCCCTGGCACTGAAGCCCCCAGCTCCCCCTTTCCCCCTGCAGAGGACCCCACTATCGACTCACGTGCTGCGAGTGGAGCGGAAAGCCCAGGGCTGACAGACACCCCCTCTGCAGCACTTCCTCTCTGTGGAGCAGAAGGCAGCACTGGGGCAGCGTTGGGGGGTATGGGAGCATGGGGGGATGCTTCTCCCAAAGGTGCCGGCATCCCTGAGGCCAGTTCATCTTCAAGAGACCAAGAAATGCCTCCAGATGCTCCTGCCAGCCCAGATGGTGCCCCTGGCAACAGTGGTCTGCTCCCACTCTGGGTGCCAGGGGCAGAGTGAGTGTCTCCATTGGGTGCCAGCCCTGAGCTCAGCCCATGCTCAGGAAGAAGCAGAGAAGCAGCTGTTGAGGTGGCCGTGCTGTCAGAAACGCCGCTGTTGTTTGGAGCCACTGGGACCAGAGTGGCAGGAGAGGAAGATCCCCTGTTCACTGAGGCTCCTCCAGGCACCTCCACCACATTGACTTGGTTCTGTTTTCCATCAGAAAGTCCAATACTGGCACCACTTTGGATGCCAGGGACAGGCACAGGGGCTTCCTGGAGGCCAGCAGCCTCCAAGCCTGTGTTCAAGCCACCGTCAGCTCCACCAGCTCTGGGAAGACTTGCTTCATTAACAGCCTCATCAGTCCTCCCAGGCAATGAAGACCCCTCTGTAGATGAGGAAGAAGATGCAGACTGCAACACATCTCCCATTTCTTCATCAGGGGTTCCTGAAACAGCTGGTCCCTTTCCAGCAGGAGCCTGAGACTGCCCCATGGACTCTCCATTACCAGCCAATTCACTTGTCCCTTCTTCTGCAGCAGCAGGAACCCCAGGCCCAGCACCCAGGGAAGGCTGAAGAGCTCCAGGAGCTTTGCCCACTCCTCCAAGTGCACTCTGGCTGGATGGATCTGAAACAGAGGATGCTATGGCCTCACTACTGGGAGGGGCAGGACCAGATGAGGAACCTGCACCAGGCAGTTGATCTTCCTGAGGGCTGAAAGCTGAAGGATTTGTCTCCAAATAGGGACTTTCTGGGTTTCCAACCTGTGCCACATCCCCTGCACTCTCTACCCCCTCCACCAGACCGAGCCCTGGGCCAGTTTCACTGTCTGGAGAGGCTGGGGATAGGCTGTCAGGGCCAGGGGCTGCACCTGAGATGGGTCCTGCTTCATCACCCCTTGAAACAGAAGGTGCTGCCACCACATCACTGGGAGAGGCAGGACCAGATGAGGCACCTTCACCAGGAAGTTGATCTATCCCACTGTCTGTAGTGGAGCCCAGGGATGGTTCAGAATCAATCCCACTGCCTGCTCCTTCCAGTGCCTGCTCTGCTGTGCCGACTCCAGGCCCTCTGGCTGCTGGCAGCCCCAGGTTTGTGCCAAGCTGGTCCCCAGGGGCAGGTGATGGGGGTCCTACCGGTCCATGAACTGCTGAGCTGGGGGCATCTCCTGGTGAAGACAAGCCAGAGTCTAGTCCTTCAGCTCCAGGGACACCTGCTCCCTGGGGAGCACCAGCTACCGTTCCCCAAGGCTGTGACCCATCAAAGGATGGAGACCCAGGTGCTCCCTGGGCACCGCCGAGGTCGGGGCTCGATGGTGTCTCTGCCCCAGATTCAGGGCCAGACACAGACCCTGGGAGTGGGTAAACAGCCCCAGGAGCACTGGCAGATTCACTGGGCAGGTCCACTGGTCCTTCAGCCCCTGAGAGGTCGGGTTCCATTCCAGCACTGCTGGGAGGTACAGAACCAGGTGAGGACGCTTCTCCCAGTGCCAGGGCACCTCCTGCTCCTGTTCCCTCCCCGAGAGCTGATGGAGGGGACTGCTCAGCATTTGCCAAATCTCCTGTTCCTCCAGTCGGCAGGTCTCCATTATTAGCAGGAGAGGCGGAGGGCTGGGGGGCTGAAGGGCTCATGTCACTCTGGGTATCTGTATAGGGACCGCTATCCCCTGGGCCTGCTGCCTGTGCCATGTCCTCTACCCCCTGAGCTCCCTGACCCTGAACCCCAGCAGTGGGCCATGCCAGTCCATCAGGTACAAAGGGGGCTGGGCTGGGGGCATCTGAATCTGAACTCAAGCCAGTGCCAAGTCCATCAGCTTCTTGGGGAGCTCCATCTGGCATCCCTGCTTGCTGTGACTGTCCGAGAGATGGAGACGTGGGTGCTTCTGGGGCAGTAGTGAGGTCAGGGCTGGATGGTGTCTCTGCTGCACCATCAGCTGCAGGCAGGGTGTTGGCTTCAGCCCCTGGGGGTGGGTAAGCAGCCCCAGGAGCACTGGGGGTGTCCATCAGGGTATCAGGAAGCAGTGGTGGCTGTTCTCCAGTGGGGGTCTGCCATGGCTCAGGTTGCAGGGATGGATTGTCCAGACCCACAGTCCCCATGTCCCCTGTGGACAGCACAGTGGCCAAGGTTGGGAGATTCACGTGACTCTGTTCATCAGTGGGAACCTCTGGGCCCAGCAGTGATGTGGCAGTGTCCTCTGTTTCCTCAAGTGCCACTGGTGCCTCGCTGGCTGCAGGTGACAGGGCTGAACCAGAAGCTTCTGTTGACACCCCAGGAACTCCCTCCCCATGCCCATACCCTGTGGACGGCGCTAACGAAGCATCTGGGCTCAGCACTGCCTGGCCAGGGAGAAGGGAGGGCTCCCCAGGGCTTCCCTCTGTTCCTGACATCACTGGGCTCTCTGGAGGTAGATGGGATGAGCCGGCTGTGCTGAATTCACCATTTGTTGCATCTCCTGCATCCCCAGACTCTGAAACCAAGGGACTTTCCTCAGCAGCTGGGGCCATTTCCTCTGCTGGCTCTGGGTTAGTGCCCTCAATCCTGCTCACCACTCCACCCTGCTGGGTCGTAAGCAGCTCCTCAGCACTGGGGTTGGGACTTGAGGATTTGCCATTGGCTCCAGTTTGGATAGATGCAGGCAGGGTTATGACTTCCTCAACTGCTCCCATGGCTGTGGTCAGCCCTTGGCTTGGCAACACAGTGACACCAACACCCACGGGGCTACCAGCAGTTGGCTGTGGCACCCAGGTGTCTGCTGGTGGAGGGGTGGTAGGGAGGGGCACGTTGCCATTGGTGAGGTCTATGTCTTCTTCTCCTCTGGTCACAGCCTCAGGGATGTCTTCCTTCACATCTGGGGTGATGTCTAGGATGGGATCAGGAGTGGCCTCTATTACCTCATACTCTGCTTCTGGGGTGACAGCAGGGTGTTGTGCAGTGATAGCAGCAGCAGTCGTGGCTGTAGTGGGAGCAGCCAACCCCCCCTCGATACCCTGAGATGTGTTAAGAGGCTTGGTCACATTCATCAAGGCTGGCACTGTAGGGCCATATTCACTCATCACAGTCACAAAGGAGTCCGGCTCAGCCCCAGGAGGGAAGGTCGAACTCAAGGGGCTCCTCGTGAAGATGCTCTCGTCTATCTCAGCATCAGCTGCCGTGGTGCTTGTGTCTGCAGTGCCTGTCACCAGGGCACTGTGCCCCTCATTCTCTGCTGTGATGGGATAAGCTGTCCCCACACTAAAGGGCCCCTCCGTAATGACAGGGACAGCAGCAGCCCCAAGCCCTGCAGAGAAGCACAAAGCAGAACATTACGCCGGGTGCCAGAGCCAGCAGCCTGCCAGGCTCAGGCACGCCTCTCCTCCACCTGAGCACCACAAAGCTCCCAGACCTTCTTAAACCCTACTGCCTCATCCCACAGCCTTACAAGACTCTGATTTAAGAGCCTAGGAGTGCAGTCTGGGCTGCCTTAGGCATAGCACTGTACAGCACCTCTTCCATCCTCAGCATCAGCAGCTGCCAGATGGGACAGGACACAACTCATCACAGGTAAGGGAGAGACACTGGTGCAAGTGTGGAGGCAAAGGCAGCCACTGCAACCCGGTCCAGGTATGCTGGGGATGGTACTGCCTGGCTGCTGGGTACAGCTAGGCCCAGTAAGTCTAGCTCACAGCCCCAGGGGTGTCTATGGAGCTCTGCCACCCCAGGACAGCCCTCAGCCGTTTTTCTGCTGCTTCAGGGGTAGCTCAGAGTGCAGTCGCTTCTGCAGAGCCTGGAGGGGCTCTGTCTTTTTTTGCCTTCTGGGTGTCTGAGGGACATTTAAATAACTTCACCCAAATCCCTTTGGCAGAGAGGACAGCCAAGGCTTAGAGAAGCCTTCCCTGACTGCAGATGGATTCTGACCTGCTGCAGTTCAAGCACGTTTGTTAAACCTCTGCTGGGGTGGGCATCTACCTGCTACTGCCCCCACCTCTGTTGCCTCCAACTGGGTGAAGGCACCGGGGGGTTCCCTGCCCATAGAGGGAATATTTGCAAGCTACCCTGGCCAAACCCTGCTTACAGCTCACTCCTCCTGCTGCCAAAATCCTGACCCACATGAGGGAGTTTTGCTGAAAGGAGGAGACACCTGCCCACATCTCAGACATTTTTCCCAGCACCTAGTGGCACCCACAGGTGATGTTTCACCCAGTATTATATTTAGGACCGGGATGCAGGCCCTGGGGAGACCAGGCTGCCTCTGCTGGCTCCAGGAGGAGCTGGGTGGATCTGCTGACGCTTGGCTTTAGGCAGCTGCAATTAGGGGAGATGAAGGCCACCCCGATGGCAAGACCTGCCAGAGCTTCACCACCGCCAGACAGCCCCAGCCTGCTCCCCACCCTGGTGCTCCGGTTCATCAGGTTCCCCCTGACAGGCAGCCAGAACTCCCTGCAGCTGAGGTGCCTCCAACCTCACCACCGGCTCAGCTCGTTAGCTTACAGATAGCTTGTGCAGAGTCATTAATGAGCATTATCTCCTATGCCAGACCAGTCCTCAAGGGGTTCATCCTCTTCCAGAGCCCCGTTCTCTTTCCTGGCTGGCTGCTTCCTCACCATCTTCCCCAGCTGAAATAAGCTCTTTACACCAGCCCACTCAGCCAGAGGAGCTCAGCTGCTTCTTCCCCCATCTCAGGGAAAATAAAGTGCAGCAGTGAAGTCACCCCAGGTATATTTGGCACACTCCACCCCAGTAAATCCATGTTTTACTTTAATTCTTCCGTATGGAGGAAACATCATCTACCCCACACACCCATTCATGGGAAGTTAGTGCAAGAGGGGCCCCAGCATGGAGCACCAGCATTTGCTCTTTCCTGGGACGTGGGAGGGATGGGAACATCCCCGGGTCCTGCTCTGCCGGCTGGCTTCCCTTGCTGGAGGGGTACACTGCTGCCTGCAGGCTTCCGGGCTGGGCTCTCACCTCTCCCACGGCTCCACGCCTGCAACCAGCCCCTCGGGGTGATGCCTGTCCTGTAAAACACTTTTCCAGCTCTTTGGCTGCATTCTATTGCAAGGACTTTCCAGTGCAGCCAGGAGGGAAAAGCATCTCACAGAGTACCTGCTGCATCCTGACAGAGCTCAGGTAGCACATGGGCTAGCAGAAAAATATTGAACATACCATGCAGAATCCATACGCAGCATCCCAGGAAGGTGGAGAGCGTCCATCCCCTAGTCCCCATGCCTCAGGCCTCCACGCAGGCAGAGCACTAGGAAGCTCAAAGGGAGGAGAGAGCAACAAGGAGCAGCTCCCTCCGTCCCTCCCTGCCTGCCTCTCCCGCAGAGCTGGAGTCCCACAGGTGCTCCTGCTCCTGTTCCCTCCTATTTATAGGGATGGCAGAGGGAGGCAGGTTGCCGACGTCCTCTCCCGCCCCCGGTCCCTTCCCTCCAATGTCCCTGTCACCATTCCCTTCCGGTCGAGCCCTCCCCTTCCCAAGGTCTGGATGCCCTGTTCAGCTGTGGCATGGGCTGGGGGTTACATAAAGCCCACTCTGCAGGTCCCAGCTCCCTGGTCCACCAGCACCAGGAGGTGAAGCTGAGCCTGGAACAGTGTGTGGCACTGCCAACAGTGGCGTGGCAGTCACCCCACCTGTTCCCCATGGCAGCCATCCCACGGACCCACAGGACCTGCTCCATGCAGGGTGACAGGTCACAGAGTGTGTGGTCGTGACAGAGCAATGTCAGCTGGTGCCACCACGCCTGTGAGGACACCATGGACACTAAAATCACCAGCTCAGTCATGTCTCAGCCCAGGGCAAGGCAAGACACAAAAGCCCACTTGGCTCAAAGTTTCCTTGGGAGCAGACTCAGATTATAAAGAAGGGATGTATGGCTGGGGACAGGCTCTGGGGCATCAGCTGAGCTCCCAGTGCTCAGCTGCAACTGGAAGCACTAGGAATCCCTGTCCAGAGCCCCAGCACACCCCAGCGGGGTTTGAAACCTGCACTTCAGTATGGGCACAGCAGTGCTGGGAGGGAGCAAATTATCCAGGAAAGCTTCTCTGCAAGGTGGGACCAGCATCCCCAGAAGCTGGAGCAGGAAAACTCGCAGGCCTGGACCTTCTTCCCTGCTATGGGGAATCCCTTGGTTGCTTCACCTTGATCCCCTGGGTCACTTCACCCCTATATCTCTCCTTCCTCCTTCTCCTGGTACAGCAATTCTCGCATCCCCCCCCGTGAAAACTGCTTTCAGCACCCCTGTGAACAACATTATGCAAACTTCCACCACTACATGGTTCTGTAGTCAATTAAACACTTCTTAACCAGAAATGCCCCCAGGCAACTCCTGCAAAGTGTTATGAGGGGTGTTAGGTAGTACACAGTGTCCTGCTGGAGCTGGCCTCCATTGGGCAGGTGGCAGTGGCTGGGCACGTCAAGTGACACCCCCAACCCACCAACTGGGCAGAGTCGACAGGGAAATGCCAGGAGAGGCCAAGTCACGGCTGGTGAAACACCATCCTGTAAACCCACGCATTACCCCCGGCAGTGGGAACAGGGCATAGGCGGTAAATCAGGGAGGAGCGCCGCTCACCTGGAACAAATGTTTGCCTGCCCACCGAAAATGCCAGTGTGGGGGTGAAGCCAGGGGGGAACAGTGCACTGGGAGCCTGTGCAACCAGCACTGCAGATCACAGTGTGACTGCCCAGCCAGTGACCACCTGAGCAGCCACCACACCTGGGCTGATGGAGGATTAGAGGGATCCAATCCTACCGTGGGAGAGTTGTTCCTGCCTGTGCTGACAATGCCATATCACTTTGGAAAGCCACCCCGACAGGGAATATATGCTGACTCTGGAGAGGGTTGCTCCAGATGGTGTTTGAGGTGCAAAATGTGGTGGGAACCACAGGGATTGTTGCAAACGTGCTGCTTAGCATAGGGGAAAACAACTTGGCTGAAGCAAGGTGGTGGCCTCAGCTCTCCTGCAAGCTCCTGTCCATGCTCCCCAGGCAGTTCTGCCTGCAGACCCTTGTACGCAGGTACTCCTGCCCATGCTGTCCCTAAGAAAACTCATCTCCCAGCAGAGTCATGGGGCTGACACACCAAACTTGTCCCTCTGCTCTGGCATTGACTGGTACAGCCTCCCAAGAAAGCCTGTAGCTACTGAGGGATGCCTTGTCTCAAGGATGGTGCCCTGCTCCCACCCTGGGAAGGGGCTTTTTAATGATTCTTCTGCTACTCCTGAAACCAACATCCTGGCAAAGCTCTGATTCCTGAAAGAATAACTGTCATCTGCAGTTACCAAGGACTAAAGCATCGTGTGGGCACTAGAGCCCTTCAGGAGCCTGTAGCCACAGGGCAATTCTATGAATCCCAGCACCCAGGGGCTCTACACCATCCAGCACAGCAGAGCATGGCCCAGCACAGTGCCTTATCAGCCTTCCTGGAATTAATGGGCTGGTTGTTCCAGCCCTGTAGAGAACACAGCATCTCCTACTGGATCCCCTCCAGCCTCCTGGCAAGGGCATTTGGAGAGGGCTCAGGGTGGTAGTGGGGGAAACCAGGTTATCCATCAACTCCACAGGTTCTGGATGACTTGGCATGCTGGGTGTGTTGCAACACCCTCCTGCCAAACAGCAGGAGCTGGACTATAGCCATCGGCAGGGGTGAAGGGGAGGGGGACAATGGAAGGGACACCTGAGTCACAAGGGACTTGAGACAGGCACCCTGTGATGCTGCTGTGAAGGTGACAGCCCTGCTGGGCACTGGGTCTGCTCCTTTGGAAAATGCTGGTAAATTGCAGTGGATCACAGCAAAGACGGTGAGAACTGTTCTGTGGTCTGGGAAAGCAGCAGGACCTGGATACAAACTCCCACGGCCCCTCTGGTCAGGGATCCATGGCAGGCAAGCAGCCATGGGGTGAAGGTGGCAGCCAGCATCCTCAAGGATGGCAGACATGGAGAACATGGTCAGTGTTGGGGGTTTGTCAGAGCTCTGTGCTGCCCGTGCCTGGGCAGTGACCACCATGCTCATGGGAGCCACGTGCCCCCACTGTGCCCCTCTTCTCCCTCCCAGCCTGGGGGCAGAGGGGATCAGAACATCTCCTCCCCCACTGCCCCCCGACCACAATAATGGTGGAAGGCAGCCGTGCTGGCAGAGGACAGTGAGTACCCCAGTCACCTTTTCATCCCAGCGCTTCAGGACCTTTTCCTCCCTTTGTGACGCAGTTTGGCTGCACTACGCCGGCTTTGGCACCCAGCCATGTCCCGGGGTCTGAAGTTATGGATTCAACAGCCGGAGAAAACAGCCTGGTGGGACACGATGTGGGAGGACTCTTGGCCCAACTCCACGGCGTAGGCAGACCACAAGGATTTCTTTCCCAGCACCCCATCGGGCGTCCAGCACGGGGACCCCTTCCGGCAGGTTTTGCCCTGCTCCCCGGCTCCTACCCGGGTGCCAAGGGACCTCTCTCAGTGTCAGTGAGTCTGACAAGCCTACAAAAGCCAGGCAGCATCCTAAAGAGCAAAGGGGCAACCCTGAGATGCAAGGGGCATCCCAAATGGGAATATCATGAAAAGCTGCCTGGGTAGAGCCTCCCCAGCCCAGCCTCTCCCAGCCCCTGAGAGCTGGCAGGCAGCCAGGTGATCCCACGGAGTCTTTCCCCATCCTGTCTGCCTGCTGGCTCCTTCCCAGATGGTTGACAACCCAGGCAGCCTGGGAGCAGTCCCCAGGTTTGGCATCCCACAGCCCCATGTGCCCCTTCCCAGCCCTCCCTGTGCCGGGGCGGTGAGGGCTGCCAGTGAGGAATAGGGATCAGCCAAAAACAATCCCTGACACGCAACAAGGCTATTTTGCTAATTATTTCAGTTTTCAATCTCCAGGCGAGGTGACTTGCTTAGGCTAATAATTGCTTCGGTTGAATTTTATCTGGCTAATTAATCAGTTAATAAATGACTTTGCTGCAGGGGGACAGATGTTGCGGCCGTCTCCTTAGCTGGGGACTGGAAAAAAACAGGGAAGGAGCACAGCCCACAGGATTTCCACGGCCCCATGGCATGTGCAGCTGCCCTGGCAGCTGTGGGGTGCCATGGGGCAGAGAGCACCAAAGCAGGGACCCCCAGTCTGTCAGGGTTCCCAGCCATCCTTGGGAATGTCTGCAGCCACCCCTGCCAGGAAGGGATAGCCCTGAGCCTGTCTCTCCATGCGAAGCTTTTGGGACTCGGACGGTTTTCCTCACCGGTACCTCTAACAGATGGCAAAGCTGAAAATTGTGAAAGGCAACTTGGAAAATAAAGAAGTCATCAACTTCGACACAGAAAGTATGGAGTTTCTATTTACTGCCCAGCCCATGTTGGCATGGGCATGCTCCTCTGTCAGCAGTTCTGCAGGTGAGCCTTGGGCACAGCAGTACTGGGACCTCCAGGTCTCCTTCCTCGCATCCATCAGTCCCCAGGGCGGCTTTGATGGCTGAGCCAGCACAGTCCCAGTTGTAAAAGCCCAGTCCCATGGGGTCCCCTCGTCCCAACCCCCTGGCAGTGCAGGAAGGGGTCCCACCACAGGAGCCAGGTCTGGAGCAGGGTGGTGGGAGGTCTTGGGCTTTACAGACAGGCTGTGGGAAGGGGCAGGGGCACTGCAGCCCATGGGGGGCACAGGGTGTGCCCAGGGAAAGATGGGGAACCCCAAGTTCAAAAGGAGCTGTGTAGATTACCCCAAGGGGCTGCACTGCCATGGAGTAAGGAGCCAGGAGCAGATGGTTTGCCAGTACATGTGGGGCCTGGCAGGGCAAGGGGCGGTGGTCAAGGGCTCCTCTTCCCTCGCCATTCCAGTGACAGGCCAGCACACGGGAATGCTGTCTGCAGGTCCTCACGGAGCTGGGGAGAAAGAACAGCCATCAAACTGTGCCAGAGGGGGTCTTCTACGTCCTTATTCCCACCTCAAAGGGGCCTGATCCTGAAGTGTGGTAGTTAGAGGGTCTCCCCTTCATCCAAAAGGGCTGTGGGTGACATTCAATGCAAGACCCAGCCATTCTCCTCCCACTGGCTGCCTGCCCCCTCCCGGACTGCCTGGACCATGGCTGGCAGATGCAAAATGGCATCTCCTGCCACACACCTTACCTTGGACAACACCAGCTCCTGCACCGTGCTGTTGCCCAGGTCCAGGGGGGTGCTTAGCCGCAGTGATAGGAAGAGGCGAGATGTACCTAGGGACAAAAAATGTGGCTCCTTTTATTACCCCTGAACCTTGGATTGTGCCAAAGAACCTGGGGGTCTCTCCATCACATCACTGGCACAGACAAGGGACCTCCTCCCAGGTTAATTGTGTCATGGCCACCCTACACTGTCAGGAGAACAACCCTCCCACTGTACAGCAAACCCAGAGGACATTCCCCAGAGCATCAGTGCCCCTTCACTGAGAGCATGGCAAAAGCAGTGGGGTTCCAGGACCCCCTGCACTGGACTATGGCAGCCCAAAACAACAATGGGTGGGTGGTGATGCCCACAGGCACTGCACTTACTGGTGTTGGACGAGCCAGTGGGGCAGACGGGTGGCGGCACTGGCGGGTCTGCAGGAGTGCTGCGGGTAACCTCTGAGGTCTGGGTCGAGTTCGTGGTGGGGAAAGAGAACTCAATGCCTGGACAAAGCAATGTTACATTAGCACTGTCTGCAGAGGTGCAGGATGCTCCTGCAGCTGGGGACAGACCAAGCCTAAGCAAAGACACCTACATGAAGCCACCCTAGGACAAGCCCAGAATCCCTGTGAGGATTTGTCCCAATGAAAGTGTCCTTATCTTCCAGTAGGGAACCCACCCATGGCTGCACTGGGGGTCCCAGATACTGTCAGGGTACCTGGAGTCGACTCCATAGTTGGGGGGAAGATGTCAGGGGTAGTCCTGGACGTGGTCCTGGCCGGGTGGCTGGGAGAGGGGGTGCTCAGGGGGACCTCCATGCTGGTAACAGGGCTGGCCGTGGTGTTTGCCAGGGTTGTCAAGGGCTCAGATGAAGTAGCTGTTGTTGTGGGAGGAGGCGTGGTGGGAGTTGGGGAGCTGCCAGTCCCTGGGGATGTGCTGGACCTCTCTGGGGTGGAAGCTTCTGTTTCAGGGCTGGAGGGAGAGAGGGTGGCTGCAGTGGTGGAGTCAGTGGTGGGCAGCTGTGCCGAGGTCTCCATAGATATTGAGGAGGTGGGGGGAGATGGGGACGTGGTTGCTGTCACACCCATGGCAGTTGTCTCTGCAAAGAGGTTGTACAATGAGATGCACAAGGGTTGGTGGTAAAAGGCTGAGGTCATGGCTGTTCTGGGGATGGCACAGCATCACCACCACCATGAGGTCCCCAAGGAAAACAAAGCTATGCATCAGCCACGGACTGTTGGGAATGGAGATTCACTGTCCTGCATGGATCAAACACGTGGATTCCCTGAATGGGCATCTGCAAAGCAGGCCACGTAAATCCCCAGCATGACAAAGTAGCAACAAGCCATGGGCATCACCGGTCTCAGGCCAGAAACTCCTGTAGGCACCAGTCCTAAGACCCAATCCACCATTTTACCCATCCCTGGAGGAAATCAGACAAACCCGTCTGACAGGAAGAGCCGAGCAGGAACTGGTGACTGTGAGACAGTCTGGAAATGCAGCAGCAGCAGTTTACACAAACCTCTCTGCTGCAGATAGTCAGGAACTGATAGCACTGGGTGTAAATAATGGCAATGGGGGAAGCAGCCCCACAAAGGAACAAATCCCAGCTTGCAGCTCAGGGCGAGCCGTTAGAGACGTGCTGTGACCCACGAAACTCTGCAAGGGGGGTGTAAGACACAGGAGGGACTTCCTCTCTTCCCACCCAGACCCTGTGCCAGGGCAGTGTGCTGTCCCCAGGCAAAGCCCAGGGATCTGTAACCTTCTCCGAAGGATGCACAGGACAGCCTGGCTGCCTGAACTTTTGTCAAGGGGTGTCTGTGAGGTGGGGGCTTTGGGATGCCAGACTGGATTCCCAGCAGAAATACAGTGAGTCTGAAGCTCTGCTTACATGAGGATGGGAAACGGAGCCACAAGCCACCACCTGCTTTCAGCCAACCCAACCAGAAACTTCCAAAGCCCCCGGCAGCCACTCCCTCCCTGCGTACAGCAGCTGGTTAAATAACAATGTAGAGAAGGGCAAAGGTCTGATCCCAGCCCATGCCAGGTGGGTGTCTGCACTGAAGGGCCTCATCCTCACACAAAGCAGGAGCCAGAAGTCCACCTCTGCTTCCCACTTATCAAACAGCACCCGCAGCATTTCATCCCCCAACCCCACAGATGTGGGATCATTCCCCACCACCCACTCACCACCCACCCCGTGGAGAGCACCGCATCCCACTCAGCCCTTACCCAGAGCAAGGTGCAGCACGGCGAGGCAGGTGAAGCTCAGCAGCAGCAGCAGCAGCAGGGGCAAGAGCAGGGGCAGCCCCCCTCTCTGCCCAGCCATGTCCAGGTGAGCAGGAACTGTTACACCCCACAGGCACAGCTCTGAGCGCTCCCCACAGCCCCAGCACTGGGGTTTCCAGGTCAGACATCAACTGCACAGCTGGACCCAGAGCAGCCACGAGCAGTGGGCAGGGCAGGCCAGCAAGGCCACCACTATGACAGACCTGGTCCCTGCAGCCCAAGACTGTGCCGTCCTCTGCCTGCTGAGGAGAGGGTGACAAAGGAAAAAAGTCCAGGCTACCTGGAACCGTCCCTGCACTTCGCCACAGGGGTGATGTTTGGTGGTGGCTCCCAGCACCAACGCCCTCGGGAGACAACAGACGGCTCTGCCTGAGCGTGAGGAACTGGCCGAGAAAACAGGCAGCACTCAGGAAGGGCGTGCTCCAGGCTGAGGGTTTGTCCCCTGGGCTGCCTGTACAGGCATCACTTCCCTGTGTCACAGCGTATCACGGCTGAAGTGTACTGCTCACAGCTGGAGTTTCCTTCTTTCCAGGGTCAGGGACAAGACCAGTCGGAGGCGCCTGCAGGCACTGGGCCAGGTACAGGCATTCTGCAGGCAGGAAGGCAAGGCATGCCGGAGGATTGTCAGGGCACATCCGCCCTGCTGCTGTACAGGTACACAGGGGCACTGCTGGGTTACAGGCGCAGAGAGGCCAGCACCAGAGTAGAGGCACTGATGAGGTGCTCTCACACTGTGGGTATTAGGCCAGGGCGCAGGTACTCTGTGAGGATACAGTTGCTCTGCTGGGATGCAGGGACACCAGGGACACTGTGGTACTGTGCACAGCCAGGGGTACTGGGACAGGGCACAGCCTCTCTGCTCTGGTTGATGTGCAGGGAGTGGGGTGTCACCAGGGTGCATCTGCAGTCCCAGGATAAAGGCTCCTGAAAGAGCCACCAGGACACAGTCACACTGCCAGGACACAGGTACCCAGTAAGCAACACTGCCAGAGTACAGCAGCCTGGGGGGCCTGCTGGGGTACAGTCCCACTCTCTGAGGTACAGAGTATGTACAGTCTCACTGCCAGGGTGCAGGCTCACTGCAGGAGGCACAGCCACACAGCCATGGCACAGCCACAGTACAGCCACACTGCTGCAGTACAGACACACCACTGAGGTACAGCCACACCACTGACATACAGCTGCAGCACAGCTGCACAGCTGCAGTACAGCCACACCACCGGGAGCTGTCAAACCATGGTACAGTCACACTGCTAGGCACAGTCCCACCAGGGCACAGTCATAGTCCAACATGGGACCATTCACTGGCCTGAAGAGCCTGAAGACCAGACAACCCCCACAGGGCTGGGACCAGGCCATGGGCTGGGCTGCGGGGAAGGAGCCAGGTGCCTGGTTGAGCAGGATGGGAGATTCCATGGGGATATGGCACCCTGATCCTGCCCCCCCGGTGCCCTGTGGCTGCACTCACCTGCAGTGGCACTGGGAGTCTTGGGTGCTGCCAGGGTGGAGGTACCAAGGGTGGTCCTGGCCGTGTTCACGACAGGCTGGCTGGGGGCAGGGGTGCGCTTGGCGGCCACTGTGCTAGTAATGAGGGAGGCTGTGGTGTCTGATGGGGTCGTCAAGGGCTTCTTCGAAGTGTCTGTCAGTGCTGGTGTGGTGGCAGAAGAGGTGCTGCCGCTCCCTGGGGATGTGCTGCCCTGCAGCATGGTCGTGGCTGGCCCTTGGTGGGTGCTGGTGCCAAGTGTGGTGCCCACCCAAGTGGAGGAGAGAAGAGCAGAGGTGGGGGGAGGCAGTGTGCTCATTTCAACTCCAAACGAGCTGAGAGCCAGGGCTGTGCTGGTCCCCACAGACGGGACATTGGTTGTCTTGGGACAGTTGGGTGTTATGGCCATGGAGGTTGGAGCTGGGGTGCCAGTGGTGAGCCCCACCTCTTTTGGCGTGCCAGTGGTGAGCCCCAGCTCAGGCAACCCAGTAATGCTGTGGGCTGTGCTGCCCCTCTCCTGTGCTGTGGTGATGCTGGAGGCTGCTGGGCTGCTCCCCTGAGGTGCAGCAGCACTGGTTGTGAAGGCATCCATTGGCATCTCTGGGGTGGAGGTTGCAGGACTGGAGGGAGGGAGGGGGGCTGCAGTGCTTGAGCTGGTGTTGGACAGCAGTGCCATGGTCTCTGTGGGTGTCAAGCAGGGAGAGTCAGGGATGCAGGGGCTGTCATGCCTTTGACAGTGGTCCCTGCAAAGAGGTGGCAGACAGCACACCAGGGCTGGCAGTGAAAGGATGAGATCATGACTATGTTGGGGACGGTGTAGCATTACCACCGCCATGAGCTTTCTAAGCCTCACATCAGCCATGGATCATCAGGACTGGGGATTTTCCACCCTGCATGGATCAAGCACGTGGATTCCCTGAATGGCAGTGTGACCATCAGCAAGGTAAACCACGTAAATCCCCAGCATGACAAAGTAGCAACAAGCCATGGGCATCACCGGTCTCAGGCCAGAAACTCCTGTAGGCACCAGTCCTAAGACCCATTCCACCACCTTCACCCATCCCTGGAGGAAATCAGACAAACCCGTCTGACAGGAAGAGCCGAGCAGGAACTGGTGACCGTGAGACAGTCTGGAAATGCAGCAGCAGCAGTTTACACAAACCTCTCTGCTGCAGATAGTCAGGAACTGATAGCACTGGGTGTAAATAATGGCAATGGGGGAAGCAGCCCCACAAAGGAACAAATCCCAGTTTGCAGCTCAGGGTAAGTCCACGAGAGACCTGTTGCAACCCACAAAATCTCTGCGAGCAGGTTGAGGGATGCAGCAGGAAGGGACCTATGGCTGTAGCTTGAGGCTCTCAGGAGGTACAAGCCTCAGGTTTATTCCAGGAGGTACAAGCCTCAAGTTTATTCCCTGTGCTCAACTCAACACTGCTCTTGCTTTGCCTCAAGTGCCAACAGTGGGGGGCATTTGAAGTTTTCCAGGCCCAGTACATCCTGGTAATGTTGCCCTCCGGGCAGGGCTGTTTGGTGCTGCTGGGCAGGTTGTAGCAAAGGCAATAAGCCCAGCATGGACCAAGGTTCAGCAAGGGGGTCCAGCCAGGTCCAAGGTCTTCTCTGCTCAGATAGAGACCCACATGAGAGGCAAAAGAAATAAAGCCAAGCTCGTCACTCATGTTTTGCAAAGTGCTGCCCTGTTCACTCACTAGAACAGGGCTGAGATGTTGGAGAGCAAACAGCGCCCACAGCTTTTCACTTCTGTGGGTGAAGCCACCCCAGGGCCTCCCCCACTCTGGAGACTGATGTTCCCCCCTCCGGATACCCCCACATACCGTTCAGCCCTTACCCAGCGTGAGATCCAGCACAGCAAGGCTCAGCAGCAGCACTGGCAGCCCTCCTGTCCCCCCAGGCATGTCCAAAGCCAGCACCCCAGTGCCTTGCAAGGTGTGGACCTGAGAACGGAGCTCGTGGTGCTAGTGGGGATCTACGCTGCCGAGTAATGGCTGAAGGTGGTTGGACCTGCTTCCTCGTTCCCGGGGGCAGGGAGGGGTGGCACCAGCGGGCACTGCCCCCCCCCGGGCAGGTGCAGCGCCGCGGGCGCGCCGGGGACATCGGGGCAGTACCTGCACCCCTGTGTGTGGGGCGGTCCCGGGCAGGGGGAGCACGCCCCTCCCCGCACGAGGCCGCACCCGTGACCACGCCCTTTACACACGCCCACGGCTTGTGTAACGCTGGGAGGACCGCGTGGTGCCGGGTGGGGATCGGGACCCGAGTCGGCGACGGGGTCAGGACCCCTACCCCAGGGATCGGGGACCAGGAGCGGAGCGGATCGGTAAACGAAATGGGCAGGGCACCGTTATTCCCCGGTGCCCGAGGACCAGTATGAGCAGGGGACCAGCATCCCCCGGGCTCTGGGGGCGGGCCGGGATGCGCAAGGAAGCGGGAAAGCTCAGCTGGGTCTCGTTTCCTCTCGGAAGCGCGGGACGGTCTCGTTTTCTCTCCCAGCGACCGCTCGCAACCACGGTGCTCCGGGCGCTGGCCCGGGCCGTCCTGAGGATGCCACTGGGACAAGGGAAGCGAAAGGCCGAGGTCACGGAGGTGCCTCGCGTGTCTCGGAGAAGGACGGAGGAAGAGGAGGCGATGCAGGAGGCCCGGCGGAGGGCGGCCCCGTCCGTGCTAGAGTTCAAGTACAACAAGAAGCGGGTTCGCCTCATCTCGCAGGGCTCGGACCTGAAGGATGATGCTCGGTGTATCCTTTACTGGATGTGCCGGGATCAGCGGCTACAAGGTGCGAACCAGCTGGCAGAACGGGCCAGGAAGCAGAACTCACATGGCCCTGGTCCCTTCCCCCATTAGGCCTTGGACCTGGCCCCCCTCTGCAGGGGCATCTGGGGGGAAACTTCTTGTGAAACCCCATCCCCCTCCCTTCAGTGTAGCATCCTCCTGACACTGCCCTGTGTGATTTCTCCCCAGATAACTGGGCTTTCCTCTATGCCCAGCGCCTGGCCCTCAAACAAGAACTACCCCTGCGCATCTGCTTCTGCCTGGTGCCCAAATTCCTGGAGGCCACCATCCGGCACTATGATTTCATGCTGAGAGGCCTGCGGGAGGTGGCCGAGGTACAGCCAGGGCGTGTCCCTGCTGGGTGGGACAGGGCTCCTGGGGAATGGAGGAGGCAGATCCATCCCTTCAGCGGATGGTGGTGGGCTGGGGTCTGCAGAGCTATGAACTGTCCCGTAACCCTTTCCCTTTCGCTGTAGGAGTGTGCAGAGCTCAACATCTCCTTCCATTTGCTGCTGGGCTACGCCAAGGACGTGCTGCCTGCTTTTGTGGTGGAGCATGGTGTGGGTGGGCTGGTGACAGACTTCAGTCCCCTCCGCCTCCCCCGGCAGTGGGTGGAGGACGTCAGGGAACGGTTGCCAGAGGACGTGCCATTTGCACAGGTGGGTGTCAGCACTCTGGGAAGGGAAAATTTTTGATGGTGAGATGTGGGAGAAACTTGTCTCCTGTGTTTTGTGCACTGGATTGACTTGAGCAGAGAGCATGTGTGTCATGTCATCGGGACCATTTGCTTCTCACACCATCTCCATGGCTTTGCTTCCCAGGTTGATGCCCACAACATCGTGCCCTGCTGGGTTGCCTCCCCCAAGCAGGAATACAGCGCCAGGACCATCCGGAGCAAGATCCATGCTCAGCTCCCTGAGTTCCTCACTGAGTTCCCCCCTGTTGTTCCTCACCCATATTCCCCCTCCTGCCCAGCAGAGGTACCAGCAGGAGACACCTCCAAACCCATTCACAGCCTGTCCCAGAGTGTTTCACAGCTGCTTTGTGATCCTGGGAGGGATTGGCAGGGGTGTTACCTGCCTAAGGTCACACACAGATGGTGTGGAAATGGGGATGCCCTGGGGAAGGAGAGGTTCCCACCTCATTCATTCAATTACGACATCTCTGCCATGCAGAGGGCTAGTTAAGAGGATGAGGCTGGCATGGGCTGGGTACTTGCTGGGTGGGGACATCCAGGGGACATAACACTCTGGGACAGGCCTAGCTGAAGAGCATATGCAAATGCACTCACTGCTCGGTCTCCACCCAGCCCATTGCTTGGGAGGCCTGTTATTCCAGCTTGCAGGTGGACCACACTGTGAAAGAGGTGGACTGGGCAACCCCTGGCACAGCTGTAGGGCTGGCTGTGCTGAAATCCTTCATCACAGAGCGGCTGAAATTCTTTGGCTCCCACCGGAACGACCCCAACAAAGCAGCTCTCAGCAACCTGTCCCCATGGTTCCACTTTGGTGAGTGTCCCAGGCTTTCCACTCTGTAGTAGGACTGAGCACGGTGTCTTGGACTGGCAGCCTGACTTGCTCCTTCCCCATGTCCCCAGGCCAGGTTTCCACCCAACGAGCCATCCTGGAGGTGCAGAAGCACCGGCACAAGTACAAGGAGTCAGTGGATGCGTTCGTGGAGGAGGCCGTGGTGCGGCGGGAGCTGGCTGAAAACTTCTGCTACTACAATGAGAACTACGACAGTGTGCAGGGTAGTGTCGGGTCGTGTGGGCAGTGCTGGGGCCAGGCTGGTACCCAGCTGGTCACTCCAACTTGGCAGTCCTATTTCTTGCTAGGAGGAGGGCTGTGGGGGCACTCATGTCCCATCATTTGGCCCCTTCTGGAGGCGGGTGCCCTCAAGACTGGTGCCCTCAATAGCCCAGCTCTCCATCTCTTCCTTGGTACTCTGCAGGAGCAGGTTGCTCAATGTTGCTCCTCATCTCTTGCTCACAGGTGCCTACGACTGGGCACAAACCACCCTGAAACTCCATGCCAAAGACAAAAGGCCTTATCTCTACAGTCTGCAGGAGCTGGAGCAGGGGACCACACACGACCCACTCTGGAATGCTGCCCAGGTACTGCCCTTCATCTTCCCCACAAACTGCTGAGCTTTTTCCCAAGGGATGGAGGTGACCTGGCACAGACTGATCCCTATGGCTGTCCCTATCCCCCCAGCTCCAAATGGTCCGGGAGGGCAAGATGCACGGCTTCCTGCGGATGTACTGGGCCAAGAAGATCCTGGAGTGGACCCGCTCCCCCGAGGAGGCCCTGAAGTTTGCCATCTACCTCAATGACCGCTACGAGCTGGATGGGAGGGACCCCAACGGATACGTAGGCAAGCTGCAGGATGGGGGCACGGGGTGGGGGGGTCTTATCTGTAATGGCCAAGGCTGCAGTGGTGGAGAGGGCAGGGCAGGGGCTCTCTGCAGGTAGCCCAGCCCATGCTCCAGCCCATCCTGCTTTGCACCCACATCCCACTTGCCTTTGAGCAAGGGGGAGAGCTGACACTCCATCCCCATGCCTGGCAGGCTGCCTGTGGTCCATCTGTGGAATACACGACCAGGGCTGGGCAGAGCGGGCCGTCTTTGGGAAGATCCGCTACATGAACTACGCCGGCTGCAAGCGCAAGTTTGACGTGGACCAGTTCGAGCGTCGCTACTCCCCCACACACTCCCAGTGACAGACACAGCGTGCCTTGAGAGGGCTCGTGCCCCTCTGTGCTGGGGCAGATGTGCCTTTGCCAAGGTGCCACCCTGCAGAGATCACCCAGCGCAGGGATCACCCTGGGCGCTCTTGGAGGGCTCGCTGTAACAGCAGCAAACCCCTGGGTCTCTTCTCTGCAATCACCCCCAGCTCGAGCTGCCATGCTGGGACAGCTGCTGGAGGCCTCTGGAATCCTCTCCTGGCAGCTGTGAGAGCCCAATGTTCGGCATACCTGGACTGCCAGAAACCTTTTCTACAACCACCACTCTCAGGATAGTCCAGGTCATCATTGCTGCTGCTAACCATAGTTTAGATTTCGGCTGAGCAGGGTTTTTCTGGGAAAAAAGCCCCCAGAAAGTGGCTTGTGGTGGAGCCA